CTCATCACTGTTGGTCTAAGGGTTCCACAACAGGTCCTCATCACTGTTGGTCTAAGGGATTCCACAGCAGGTCCTCATCACTGTTATTTTAAGGGTTCCACAACAGGTCCTCATCACTGTTGGTCTTAGGGTTCCACAACAGGTCCTCATCACTGTTGGTCTAAGGGATTCCACATCAGGTCCTCATCACTGTTATTTTAAGGGTTCCACAACAGGTCCTTATCACTGTTGGTCTAAGGGTTGCACAACAGGTCCTCATCACTTTTTGTCTAAGGGTTCCACAACAGGTCCTCATCACTGTTGGTCTAAGGGATTCCACAGCAGGTCTTCATCTCTGTTGGTCTAAGGGTTCCACAACAGGTCCTCATTGCTGTTAGTCTAAGGGTTCCACAACAGGTCCTCATCACTGTTTGTCTAAGGGTTCCACAACAGGTTCTCATCACTGTTGGTCTAAGGGTTCCACAACAGGTCCTCATCACTNAGGGTTCCACAACAGGTCCTCATCACTATTGGTCTGAGGGTTCAACAACAGGTCCTCATCACTGTTGGTCTAAGGGATTCCACAACAGGTCCTCATCACTGTTGGTCTAAGGGTTCCACAACAGGTCCTCATTGCTGTTAGTCTAAGGGTTCCACAACAGGTCCTCATCACTGTTGGTCTGCGGGTTCCACAACAGGTCCACATCACTGTTAGTCTAAGGGTTCCACAACAGGTCCTCATCACTGTTGATCTAATTGTTCCACAACAGGTCCTCATCACTGTTAGTCTAAGGGTTCCACAACATGTCCTCATCACTATTGGTCTAAGGGTTCCACAACAGGACCTCATCACTGTTTGTCTACGGGTTCCACAAAAGGTCCACATCACTGTTTGTCTAAGGGTTCTACAACAGGTCCTCATCACTGTTGGTCTAAGGGTTCTACAACAGGTTCCCATCACTGTTGGTTTAAGGGTTCCACAACAGGTCCTCATCACTATTCATCTAAGGGTTCCACAACAGGTCCTCATCACTGTTGGTCTAAGTGTTCCACAACAGGCCCTCATCACTGTTGGTCTTAGGGTTCCGAAACAGGTCCTCATCACTGTTATTCTAAGGGTTCCACAACAGGTCCTCATCACTGTTTGTCTAAGGGTTC